CAACTGGCCTCCAATTCCTGATCAAAAGCCAAAGTGCCCATGCCACAAGAGAGAAGATAGACAAGTGGAGCCTCATCAAATTGACAAGCTCCTGAAAAGTCAAAGAGAGTAGAAAGACAGCCCACAAACCGGGAAAAATATATTTGCCAACTCCATGTCTGACAAAGGCCTAACATCAAGGATCTACAAGGAACTCATATGTGCTAAAAAGAAAAAAAAACAAAAAAAAAAACCAAAACAACAACAAAAAAACAAAACCCCAAAACCCAACCCCATTATAAAGTGGGCAAAATATATTAATAGACACTTCTCAAAGGAAGACATATGAGCAGCTAACAGATACATGAAAAAACATTCAGCCTCACTAGTCATCAACAAGTTGCAAATTAAAACTACACTGATATACCACCTAACTCTCGTCAGAATGGCCATAATCAATAATTTAAAAAATAACAGATGCTGGAGAGGATATGGCAAAAAAAGGGAACACTTCTACACTGTTTGTGGTAGTGTAAACTAGTATATCCTCTGTGGAAATCAGTTTGGCAATGCCTAAAAGTTCTAAAAATTGATCCTGCATTCCCCCTCCTGGGAATACACCCAGAAGAACTCAGTTCACTCTCTAAAAAATATACCTGTGCATGTATGTTTATCGCAGCATTGTACACAATAGTAAGAACATGGAACCAACTTCGCTGCCCATCAAAAGAGGACAGGATAAAAAATGTGGTCCATATACACAATGAAATATTATGCAGCCATAAAGACCAAAGTCATGAACTTCACAGCACCTGAATGGAATTAGGTGATCTTTCACAGAAACAAAGATATGAGTACCACATATTCTCACTCATAAGTGGACCTTGAACAACTACCATAATACTGTAAGAAAATGATTGACAGTAGAGGGAAACTATGGGGGTGGGATTAACAGTAGTCGATATCTGCCTGGCGAAGAGGGGACACACTTAATCAACAAGGGTACCTACACAATGAATATTTGTATTCCTAACCCTGAATTGTACCCTACAGTTTTAAAATAAAGCAAGAAGACAAAGCTGAAGGGCTATGACTCCCCTGGCACCATATTTTAATGTCAGATTGCAGGAGCAAACAACCTCTCCAAAGCAAGCTAAGTGGTGAAACCTCTCCAAAGATGACTATGTGTTGAATTTAAGTTCAGAAATGTCTGAAGTGGGTTTATACACTTTTAATTTATTTTTGCACTTTGGTAGGTACTAAAGTTTATTAAAAACCTTTACACTATTTACACATCAAATAATATGATGAACAGATAGTTATATTTGTCAACCTTTACAATCTTCACAATGCTTGCAATGTAATGTTGCATTGACTAGATAATACATCTGAGTGTATTTTGAACATACGGTTTTCATTTGGAATTTTCTTCAATAGCCTCCTTCAGAAAAAATAAATCTCTTTACCTGAATAAAAAAAAAAACACCTAAAACATACTTTCTTAAACATCTGATCACCTGTTACTTTGTTAAACAAAGATTCTCATTCAGTAAATGGAGTGTGGGTTTGCTATTTAGCTCATGTATCCTTACCAACTGATCATGCTGCTGACTTCTGCATAAATTTGGAGTAACAAGAACCTTTCATATTGAAGAAAAATGTTAGGTTTTCTTGTTGTTTTTGTCTTGCTTCTTGTCAAGAAAGATTTTTCATTTCATTGTCAAATGATATATTTTTCATAGGATTTTTTTATTTTGTTCAACTATGACTCAGTGAAGTTTTCTTGCTTCAATGCAGACTTGATGGTAATCCCTAAAAGTACATTCAAGTGTTTCCAAGGGTCATCACTAGTTTGTAATTTGGTATAAATATTGACCACATTGAATTGTCAGCTATCAATTCCTCATCATCACCATCACATTTTTCTAAACCCATTTAACATTTCTGGTTTTCTGGACAGTCATTCAGTGAGGGATCTCCCATAAGACTTGATAGTCAAGAGGGTGATTCAAGGATCACTGATACCTGCAGACAGACATGTGAATTGAGGTGATGACTGGAGAGCTACCTGAAGAGGTGCAGCATTAGATGAGAGCATCAGCATTCCCATCTCTGGCTTCCTAGACTGGTGTGAGAATCACATGGTTAGACTAGACTCTGTATACCTTCAAAGGTAGTTTCACTCTGTTTCTGAAAGATCAGAGAATCCCCAGCCTCTAGTGTCTGCTTCCCTGAATGACATACTCAGGGCTTTGAAAGCTGTGGTTTAAATTATAAATATCTGAATGGACAGAATTCCTGATTGGGGGGAAAAAATCTAGAGTGGTTTCCCATTTGCTCTATGAATATCAATTCTCTTAATACAGACTCTTCAAATAGGCTGACTTTTTCCCGTAATGAAATCAGTGGAGACAATGTCATGTCTGTGCTGTTTTGGCAGATGAAAAGTAAAGAAAGAGGGTTCTAAGGAGCCTTCATGACCTCCTCTCTCAAAATCTTATAATGGCATTCAAAACCTGGGAAATTCTCAGAAACACTCTAAACAGATAGAGACCTCTCAGAATATAGAAACAACTGGGAGAGCTCAGTCTTACACATCTGTTTCCCTGGGTGGTTTTTGTTATGACTTGTAACACTGTGGGAAGGATAACTGTCATACTGTAGACAGAAATAAATTGCAGGATCTTCAGGCTGAAGGCTACTGACAGTGAGAGTGTAATCTGTCCCAGATCGACTGCCACTGAACCTTGATGGGACCCCAGACTGCAAACTGGAAGCATAATAGATCAGGTGCTTAGGGGGATTCCCTGGTTTCTGCTGATACCAGGATAACCAATTGCTAATGCCCTGACTCGCTCTGCAAGTGATGGTGATTCTGTCTCCTAGAGATGCAGACAGGAAGGATGGAGACTGGGTCATCTGAATATCACAACTGACACCTAAAATAGGAAACATAAAAAACAAATGTAAATGCAATTAATCAAGTTACCAGAGTACTTTCCTGACTGACCAGGCAGTACTTTCATACTGACTGAGTCAATTCTTAGTGGTCTTCTTCCTTACCTAGGAGCCAGAGCAGCAAGAGCCCCAGGAGCTGAGTGGGGCCCCTCATGTTCATGCTGTGTCCTGCCTGGGACTGACTCTTGCACTGGCTGTGACCAGTCCATTAATAAGTCTTCAGGGCAGGGGCTGTGCTCTCTGGAACATGCAAATCAGCAGTGAATGTGGTAGGCTGAGCACAGCTGCAGGGCTGACTCCTCTCAGTAACTCAGTACAGGTGCATTGTCCCCTTGTGTCTCTACTCAAGCAGGGCAACATGCTTGCAGAGAATATTTTTCTACTTAGAAGACCAATTGTCACAAAATACCATTAGAGGACAATTTTCAAAATGTAAAATGCCCCTAATGATAAATAGCATAAAGTATTTTTCTTAGTTGTGTTGGGATTGCATAGGGGAGTTTCTTTGTTTTCAGGAAATGCATAATTAAGCCTTAGAGAGTGCTGGCATGTTTTCTAGTTACTCTGAAATGCATAAGGTGAGGGCAAAAATCTTTATGCTGTACTATTCACACTACTGTGAATGTAAAACTGTTTCCTTTTTTTAAATGGAGAAACAAAGTACTCAGAAGCATGTTTATTATATTCAAAAGTTGTTTATAATGACCTTAAACCTTTGTTATTATCAGTATAAGGTCAAGCAATTCAGTGAAGATGCACAAAAATGATACATGTTTTTTCAATGTTTGTCCCTCACAGACCCATCATTAACCAGAGTTACAGTTTTCTTTGTAACCAGGGAATACATGGGTTGCACCTTATTCTTTATTTGGAGACCCCGTTGTCTGTCCTCTATTCTTCAATTGGGTGTTATTTCTCACAGTTCATAAGCCAGAAGGGCTCATTAGTAATGCTAGATCAACACAACAAATATCTGCTTCTTTCTTGAGCTTAGGAACCTGAATTGGGATGAACTTAAAATTCTGAACCAATTTTGTCCCTAGTGATCAATTGTCTCTAAAGAATGAATACCAGGGTCACATCCCCTGGGTAATTCTTTGAGATGTACTCCCCTCCAACAAGTTCACGGAGCCCCAGGTTTATATCCCATGGAGGCTGGTTTTCTGAAGAGCTGGTGAGGGGGAAGCCCAGGAGAAAGGCCCCATCAGAGAATCCTCTCTTCTAAGTGAGGGCTGCTGCTTCTCAATTTATAACATGCTTCTCAAGTTACCCTTAACTTCACTTTCCTCTTTTACTCTTTAGCAGCAGTAATATTATTCTAACCCAGATTCCATCTTCCCTTTTTGCATCTTAAGGAGAGGAAATATCTATCTCCTGACAAGTCATTATTCAAGTATGTGGAGAAATCTCTTGAATCCAGACTAATCGTCGACACAGATTTAAACCTCTATACCTCACATCTCACATTTTGCCCAGGAAATCCCAGGCTGGTACAGAAGCAGGGGAAGTAGAAGCAACTTCATTAGCCTCAGTGCATTGCTGCCCAGGGTCTCTAGAGATAATTACAAATGCACATCTATGGGTGGCCAGACAATAGGAGTGCAGCCCATTCACAAAATTCCTCTGGCCATCATGAACCTGAATTTTAAAGACATTTACTTGGCTCTTGCCTTCCAGGATCCAATTCTAGAAAGAGACAGCTCCAGGTTGACATTCTACACCTTTTTTCTGTATGGATGAAATCATACAGATTCCTATCTAAACCCCTTTGCTGCACTTTTCCTGGCTTCCTATTGTGTTAACTGCCCCTGATTGCTTTCTCTGAAGCTTGGAAGGCAGTTCTACCTGCACATGTGGCAGAACACAGGGACTGAAATGAGTGTCTTCTGTGACAGCTTTCAATTAGTGAGGACAGGAGAGGTGAATACATATCCTACCTTCCTTATCTCTCACGTGGAATAGCCCAGAGGATTTT